TTATTATTATTATAAGCCTATTATTTTAGCAAACGTATGACATGCTCTCTGCATATCATAGTTTAGTTTGTTGCAACACACCGCTGTACTCCCCGTAGATCTACCCCTACTTTAAAAAGAGACGAAAAAAAAACCCTCCAAGTGAAACGTGGAAAATAAACCTACCAACAACAACCAAACACAAAACAAACAAATAAGACCAACTAACAAACAACCGCCCTCCACCACCCCCGCTGAACCCACCCCTTTGCTCCTCCCATCATTACCCCACGTCAAGGAGTGACCACAATGCTGACGATGACATTCCTGGTGCTGGATAGCCGTAACGACCTGCCCAAAGTGGCCTACTCTACAGCCCTGGATGTGTACGTGTGTATGTGTTTCTTCTTCATCTTCGCCTCCATCGTGCAGTTCGCCGCAGTGCATTTCTTTACCAAATACGGCACGGCAGACCCAGAGCTGCTCCAGCATATAGCGGACACTGACGAAGATGAGGTAGGCGTTTTTTGGGATTTTTTTTGGGGGGGGGGGCGGAGGGTTTGGGCATTTTTTGTTTGCTTGACTGTTTTTCTCAATGTCTATTTGTTTGCTTATAAAATTATAAATGTGTGTGTGTGTGTGTGTGTGTGTGTGTGTGTGTGTGTTTACCTGAGCACGAACGTGTTAGTGAGTACGCGTACAATGTGTATTTTTGTGTGCTTATGTGCATGGTAGGCTTCTATAGAAATTGGGGGTGATCTACAGGGAGATTAAGCCGTCCTATTTTTTCACTTATTTACTTTCCAGTTTTCTTTGACTGAACGTACAGAACTCTGATATTTTTTCACTTTGATTTTGAGCAACGATAGCAACATCAATATCAGCAACAACAGCAACAATATCTAATAACAACAACAAAAGCATCACTGACAACAAAAACAACAACAACAACAGTTATAACAGCAACAACAACAACAACAGCAACAACCGAAACACAAACATCAACAACAGTACAACAAAAATAATCCCCATACCAACAACAATAATGACCCCCCCAAAAAAAAAAACAACCCACAACAAAACAACAACAACAACAAACAAACAAACAAAAACAACAAAAAATCAATCAATCAAACAAACAAACAAACCCCGCAGCAACAACAAAAACAAAAACAAAAACAAAAACAAAAACAAAAACAAAAACAAAAACCACAGCAACAACAAACACAAAGACAGCGAGCTGTTTCCATCAACAGGACGTTGATGACGACGATGATGATGACGGTGATGATGATGACGGCTACCCGTCGTACGGCGTGAATCATAAGGGGACCAGGCTGCAGTCTTCTGGGCTGTCAGGTTGTCTGAAGACGGCCTGGAGGTGTGTTATGAGCACACGGAGGAAACGGTGAGTTATACACACACACGCGCGCACGTACACACACACACACACACACACACACACACACACACACACACACACACACACTATTGATTATATATTTTGTTTTGTTTTAGTAGAGGTTTTACGGCGCTCGCAACTGCATAAGGTCATGAGCGCCAGAAGATTAGAGGTGTTTCATGAGAGTTACAAACATAAAAAAAGGAGGGGAGATGAGGACGATAGCTGTTTGATAGGAAAAAAATGAGCAAACCACACCAGAGAACCCGTCAACCACCGACTTAATTATATATATATATATATATATATATATATATATATATATATATATATATATATATGTTTCTCTCCCCCCTCTCTCTCTCTCTCTCTCTCTCTCTCTCTCTCTCTCTCTCTCTCTCTCTGTATATATATATATATATATATATATATATATATATATATATATATATATATATATATATATATATATATATATCGTTCTTGTTTTCATTCTTTCTCTCTCTCGTATTCTGTCTGTCTGTCTGTCTGTCTGTCTGTCTGTCTGTCTGTCTGTCGTCTGTCTGTCGTCTGTCTGTCTGTCTGTCTGTCTGTCTTTTCTTCCTTTCTTTCTCTGCAAGGAGGAAACAATGAGCCGCACATACTGTCAGGTTATAATATATGAAGACAGCCTGGAGGTGTGTCATGACCACGCGGAGGAACCAGTGAGCAACACATTGTACTTATCTCTTCCCTTCCCCCTGTCTCTCTCTGTGATATCTGTATGTCTCCACCAATCTTAGTCTGTCTGTCTTCGCCCCTGTCTTTTGATCCTCTCTCTGTGTCTGACTGTTTGTCTCTCTCGTTTTCTCTCTGTGTGTCTCTGTATTTTTCTGTCAGCCTGTCTGTCTTTGCGTCTGTCTCTCCTTTTTTATACTCTTTGTCTCTACTAAACGTTATCGGCAATAGCAGGGCCTCATCAGAGACCAATCGGTTATAGCAGGGACAAAGGTTCGTTAACAATGTGTAAAAGATAAGAGAGAGAGAGAGAGAGAGAGAGAGAGAGAGAGAGAGAGAGAGAGAGAGAGAGAGAGAGAGAGAGAGAGAGAGAGAGTAACGCAGTGATGGGGCAAGCCCACGCAAGCCACGCCACTGCAAGCACACGCAGCGGATGCAAGCGAAAGAGGGCTGCGGTGTGCTGCAGACTTCGATCTAGCTCTAAGCCTAGCAACACGCACAAGTAATGTGTCGAGCTCAAGTTACTTGTGGCAAGAGAAACTACCCATGAATAAATACAGCTGGATCAGTCCATAAATGCTTACTTCCCTTGTATTTCTGGTTTAACAGGGATCTGATATAAGAGGACTCTTTCTCTGGTTCCACCGTCCCTGTTTTATCAGGTTTCTACTCTAATTTTTTTATAGTCTCATTGGCTCACTCTCTCTCTCTCTCTCTCTCTCTCTCTCTCTCTCT